TCAGTTCACTGAAAGTGCGTAACATGGTAGTATTATAACATATCCATTGTTATTGATAACATTTATGTATGTCTTAGTAAGACATATGTCTAGGTAACAGTTATTGTCAGCCTAAATGTATGTCATCATTACATTATCGTTTGTGCTCTGTCTTTAAAAGCATAAAACATGGTCTATTGGCAGAATGAGATATTGTCATTGGGTCCTGATTAAACAGGCATCAGTTCATTAGTGTTCCACTTGAAGATAGGCACATTCAATTGCTAGTTAAAACAAAAAAATGGGGTTTATTGGGGTGAAGATAAATTATGTAATGAATCATAAATGCATATTTTCTAATATTTTGTTTGGAGATTAAAAAAAATTAAAATTATGTCATTGGGGGAAGTGAGGAAGTTGAGTGCTTAGGTTAGGGTGTTTGTAGAAGAATTGGGAATATTCATTTGGAAGAGTAGGCTTGAAGTGATGTGTTTCATATTGGTGTTTGTTAGTGTTGGGTTTTAAAATGAGTTAACATGTGATGGGATATAGGAGAGGGGTGGATTATTATGGGGAATGTATTATACAAAATGGGAGTATGACAAGTATATTTTGTAATTATTTTTGGTGTGAATTTTAGAAAGTTGAAAAGGTTAGTGGTCGAGTTGGAGTGTAAAGGTAGAAAGTTGAAAGGACATAGATAATGAGTAGGTGATGAGGTTATCAAATGATTTAGATAAAGAAAAATTGGATATCACATTGGAGAGAGGGAGTATGGAAGTGAATGTTTTCAGATATTTGGGAGTTGGCGTGTCAGCGGATGGGTTTATGAAGGATGAGGTTAACCATAGAATTGATGAAGGAAAAAAGGAGAGTGGTGCGTTGAGGTATATGTGGAGACAAAAAAAACTTTATCTATGGAGGCAAAGAAGGGAATGTATGAAAGTATAGTTGTACCAACTCTCTTATATGGGTGTGAAGCTTGGGTTGTAAATGCTACAGCGAGTAGGCGGTTGGAGGCAGTGGAGATGTCCTGTCCAAGGGCAATGTGTGGTGTAAATATTATGCAGAAAATTTGGGGTGTGGAGTTAATAAAAGTATTAGTCAGAGGGCTGAAGAGGGGGGTTGTTGAAGTGGTTTGGTCATTTAGAGAGAATGGATCAAAGTAGAATGACATGTAGAGCATATAAATCTGTAGAGGAAGGAAGGTGGGGTAGGGGTCGACCTCAAAAAGGTTGGAGGGAGGGGGTAAAGGAGGTTTTGTGGGCAAGGGGCTTGGACTTCCATCAAGCGTGCATGAGCATGTTAGATAGGAGTGAATGGAGATGAATGGTTTTTGGGACCTGACGAGTTGGAGTGTGAGCAGGGTAATATTTAGTGAAGGGATTCAGGGAAACCGGTTATTTTTATATAGCCGGACTTGAGTACTGGAAATGGGAAGTACAATGTCTGCACTTTAAAGGAGGGGTTTGGGATATTGGCAGTTTGGAGGGATGTTATATATCTTTATATATGCTTCTAAACTGTTGTATCTGGGCACCTCTGCAAAAAACAGTGATAATGTGTGAGTGAGGTGAAAGTGTTGAATGATGAAAGTACAGTGGACCCCCGGTTAACGAACTTTTTTCATTCCAGTAGTATGTTCAGGTGCCAGTACTGACCGAATTTTTTCCCATAAGGAATATTGTGAAGTAGATTAGTCCATTTCAGACCCCCAAACATACACGTACAAATGCACTTACATAAATACACTTACATAATTGGTCGCATTTGGAGGTGATCATTAAGCGGGGGTCCACTGTATTTTCTTTTTGGGGATTTTTTCATTTTGGGTCACCCTGCCTCTGTGGGAGATGGCCGACTTGTTGAAAAAATTTTGTGTGTGTGTGCACGAGTGTATGTACTCGCCTATTTGTGGTTGCAGGGGTCAAGTCGTAGCTCCTATGTATGTATGTGTGTGTGGTGGGGGGGGGAGGTGAGGACACAACAGGTTTCACTAGCACTGTCAGTCCACAGTACAGTAGCAGCAACTGGTGGCTTACGTGAGCTGAACTCAGTATCTGAATGTCACTAACAAGTGTATGCTTGTTTATTTATTAATCAGAGATAATTGCCTGATATCAGTCTTAATTATATGATGACCCGCTCATTGACTCAGAGTTTTGTATGAATTTTATTTTGCCATAGATTTAAAAAATATAGAATCAAACGGCATATATATGTAGGTCACCTTACCTAAGTCAGTCACATGTGGGAATTAGGTCAGGTACAGTAAATAAGTTGGAGTAGGAACATGTGGTGAACAACCAGTGAAACCTGGTTATAACACCAGGTTTCACTGACCTTGTATGATACTGAGATTTGGTCTTGAAGCAAACATATCGGATTATAATTTTTTTACATTGGTTTTTTTAGACCTGTTAAAATTTGAGTTGAGGGGGCCATAACCCCTATGAAATCATCAGGTTCATTATGTATTACCAGATTTGCAAAAAATATTGTCTGGGAGTCATTTTGAAACACACTGCGTATTATTAACCTGGACAGAAAGTAGAAACAAACTGGCAGATATAAAAAATGTATTTTATATGCTAGAAAAATATTTGTACATTAAACCAAACATACTTTATTTCAAACCATGTTATTTACCATGGCACTTGATGCAATAAGTCCACAATTCATTGGACCATCTTTACAAAATCCAGCATAAGGACTAACTGTTCCCCTAGTTGCCTTGTACAGTGTCTTAACATACTGCAGCAACTCTGGGGTGTAACTTTAGTGACACAAAACATGACTTAAGATAAGATTTGTTCAAATTTTAAACCCAGAGGGTTAGTCACCCAGGATAACCCAAGAAAGTCAGTGCATCATTGAGTACTATCAGCCTTATTTAAATTGGGATCCTTTAATATGAGATGACTCATGTCATATGAAAATGCAAGCTAAACATACTCCCCAGAGTCTACAATAGCTCAGATTATTATAAAATGTTTAAGTATTACAGATAGTCATTTTATGCATTAAAAATACCTATCCATATACATGTACATTAGCCAGAACTGTGCTTTTATCCACACAGTAGCCAGAACTGTGCTTTTATTCACACAGTAGCCAGAACTGTGCTTTTATCCACACAGTAGCCAGAACTGTGCAGGCATCCACACAGTAGCCAGAACTGTGCAGGCATCCACACAGTCCAGAACGTGCACCCGCCCGAACTGTGCAGGCATCCACCACAGCCAGAACTGTGCAGGCATCCACACAGTAGCCAGAACTGTGCAGGCATCCACACAGTAGCCAGAACTGTGCAGGCATCCACACAGTAGCCAGAACTGTGCAGGCATCCACACAGTAGCCAGAACTGTGCAGGCATCCACACAGTAGCCAGAACTGTGCAGGCATCCACACAGTAGCCAGAACTGTGCAGGCATCCACACAGTAGCCAGAACTGTGCAGGCATCCACACAGTAGCCAGAACTGTGCAGGCATCCACACAGTAGCCAGAACTGTGCAGGCATCCACACAGTAGCCAGAACTGTGCAGGCATCCACACAGTAGCCAGAACTGTGCAGGCATCCACACAGTAGCCAGAACTGTGCAGGCATCCACACATTAGCCAGAACTGTGCTGGCATCCACACGTTAGCCAGCATTGTGCTGGCATCCACATAACATGCATATACGTTTAGTTTTTGTACATAAAGAAAGCAGCACCAGACGAGCCTGGCCCATGGTCGAGCTCAGAGAGTAGATAAACTCTCGAAACTCTTCAAAGATATATCAAAGGTATCCCAGTTGATATAGTAATGGTTCTTGACATGTTGGAAAGTTTCAGAACTGTCTTGTGCATATCTGACAACCTCAGACTTCTTGTTCATGTAATAATAATAATATAATAATAATATAATAATAATAATAATAATAATAATAATATCTTTATTTACTACAAGTACATGTACAAGGTATACAGTCCTAGCTGACAACAATGACATACTACTATATAGAAAGTCCCTTGTTATGCTCCGCATTTCGGTACATTTCGGGCAAATTAGGTCAGTGTCCCAGGATGCGACCCACACCAGTCGACTAACACCCAGGTACCCATTTTACTGATGGGGAACATAGACAACAGGTGGAAAGAAACACGTCCAATGTTTCTACTCTGGCTGGGAATTGAACCCAGACCCTCGCCGTGTGAAGCGAGAGCGTTAGCCACCAGGCCACCAGAGCCCTGTAAGTGTAAATACCTTTCTGTAATCCCTTGGGCGGTACATTACTCCCTATCACTGAGGTAGTGTGTTGTAATTTCATTTAAAGAAGACATACCTAAGCAATTATTGCACTGTGTTGTGGGTTATGCATGTTAAAAACTTCCACATAATACATAGGTTTACTTAAAAATTTTTTAGGGGGGCATTGGAAGTCTGTTAGGGACACAATCAACGAAATCCTATTTTTAGTTTTTAATTTAGGAGTCATGTACCAAGGAAAAACGAGAATAGTCACCGTCAACAAATTCACATCTCGTGACTTTTCACCCCAAAAAAAAAAAAAAATGAAATGCTATATAAGCACCAAAACACTAAGTTCAAAAATATGAATGCATTTGATAAATCATGATAGTAACAGTGACAAAATAATATCACTGTGAACCTACCCCATATAAGGCAATTAACTAATTTTTTTAAATATTCTTAAAATTAATTTTTGTAATAAGAGGGAGTCAGAGGAAATGGTGTTAATTTTTGTAGAATATTCCTTAATGCATTAGAATACAGTACTGACCTCTAACAGTTGGAGATCAAGGGGTCCCTTAACTGACCACTGGCATGAGGTTACAGTTTTCCAGCACTTGGTGGATTATACATTTTGCAAGATTGAATGGGACTACCAGATGATGGATGCTGAATAATCGATAGATTGTTTAGTCAGTAATTTAGTGCATTATAATTTACTGTGTATATTTAATGTTATGATGGATTTGGCCACTTCTGACACTTATTTACCCATTTGTTTCAGTGACAGAAGATGGGCAACTTGACACGTGCTGTAATGACCAGCAGGCACTTGCCATGTCACGCTCTTTAGATATGATGAAAAGGTTTCTTGTGCGATGTCCAGCATGCATGAGAAATCTACGAATACCCTTTTGCTACATGACATGCTCTCCACAACAGACAGATTTTCTTGAACCTGTCAAACATGAGCCTGCTACACACGAACATAAAAAAGGTATTTGCATTTACTTTTACTCAATGCAACAGTTAAGGGCAGCTTAATAATTTATCTTAAGGCCTTGTAAAATAGGGTTAGTAGCATTATTGAAAGATACAGTATTGTTAATGAAAAACGTTTTTGTTTGTAATACAGTATGTCAGTAACATATGATGGTAAGATAAGGGAAAAATAAAAAAGGATAGATTAGTAACTATATATCCAGGAGGATAGTAAAATAGTAAGTATGAAGACTCACTGAAGCTCTTTTCTGATTCTGGTGCCTGTGACTTAACGTTGTCCGTGATATTGTGCAATATGCAGCACAATTTGATATAATGATTCAAAGCAGAACTGAAAACAGAGTGAAATGAAAACATGATCATAAGAACAGAGGAGCGCTGCAGCATGCCTACTGCCTCAGTGCTAGGTGGGTCCAACTGTCACCCAACCACTCGCACACTTTTTATCTGCTCAATCTGTTTTTAAAACCACAAAATTCTTGCTTTAATGATACTACTTGATACATACAGTAGAAATCCCATATCCACGGATGGTTTCTGTGGTTTGTTATCCATGGTCTACTGAGGCCCAAAAATAACCTTAATTTTGCTTAACCCTTTGACTGTTTTGGCCATATATATACATCTTACAAGCCAATGTTTTGGACGTATGTATACTCAATAATTCTAGCGGCTTCAAATCAGGCAGGGGAAAGGTGGTAGGCCCACATGTGAGAGAATGGGTCAGTGTGCACTGTATAAAAAAATCCTGCACCATGCAGTGCATAATGAGGAAAAAAAACCCAACTGTGTTTTTGGATTAAAACACTGACTTTGAGGTGTATTTTCGTATAGTATTTATGGTTGTCTTCTCATTTTCTTGGTCTCATTTGATAGAGAAGATTTTGATTAGTTTCACAATGAAAATGACCTTGAAATTGAGCTCAAAGTAGCGGAAATGTTCGATTTTTCTAAATGTTCAAGAGTAAGCAAATCACACCACACATCCAATACACATCAACTGGGGAGTCTAATATTCTTTCACTAGTGCAATGATATTATTTATACCATTTTTTTCAATAATGCAGTACATATTCTGCATAACAGTAAATCTATTTGTTGTGAATAAAAAATCAAAATGGAAAGCAAGAGTAATATAAGAGGGGCCTGGAGACATGACTGATGAACAGAGGATATGTTATTTTAGTGCCAAGAATGTCTGCATTGTTTATTCTGGACCCTATTTTGAAATTGGCATATTTTTTAATTTGCATGAAATTGGCCAAATTGCCAATTTCTGATCACTTTATTGGGTAGTTGAAATCGGTAAATGGGCAGTTTCTTGTACTCGGTTGATAGAACAAATGGAGTTCTAAAGAAATAGCTATGAGTTTGGTCGACTGGAACAATGGAATTAGCCGAAAATAGGGCTAAAATTCGGCGAAATCACCAATGCGTATAGTATATCGCCGAGATTGCTAACTTTGCAGGAGCATAATTCCATAAGTTTTCGATCAAATTTCATACTTTTGGTGTCATTACCATTGGGAAAAGATTCTCTATCATTTCAAAAGATTTTTTTTTTTCTCAAAAAAAAAAAAAAAAAAAAAAATGGAATTTAGGAATTGGGGTTGCGACAGTCAAAGGGTTAATAACACCAAAGGGCAAAAGTGCTTCCCATCAATGAAAGTGTTAATTCTCCACTTATTGTGCACAATTTATCAATTAAACTTTATCATAGGTATGTATGTAAATGAAAAACGACTTGTATAGAGGGATTGCTACTATCTACAGTTTCAGATATCCACAGTAGGTCTTGGAACATGTCCTCCCGTGGATATGGGGGGACTACTGTAGTTTGTTCTGCTCTTCTGTAACTCTGTTGCCATACCAGTGCTTTATCTCTCTTCTAAATCTTTATTTATCCAACCATTAATTCATAACTACAAGTCCTATCCTGGCCAGATATTTTTAGCACTCTAAATCTCCTATATTCATTCTATTTTTCATTTGTACACTTCAATCACATCCTTTGTAATTTTGCTCTCCTCCAAAGAGTGTAAATTCAATTCCTCCAGGCTATCTTAGCAGGAGAGGTTTCTTATACATGGCATTAACCTTATCATTCTTCTCTGTATATGTTTTCCAGCATATTTATACAGTGGACCCTCGCCTAACTCTATTAATCCGTTCCTGAGAGCTCAATGTTAGGGGAAATTATCGTTAGGCGAATTAATTTTCCCCATAAGAAATACAATGGACCCCCGGTTAACGATATTTTTTCACTCCAGAAGTATGTTCAGGTGCCAGTACTGACCGAATTTGTTCCCGTAAGAAATATTGTGAAGTAGATTAGTCCATTTCAGACCCCCAAACATACATGTACAAACGCACTTACATAAATACACTTACATAATTGGTCGCATTCGGAGGTAATCGTTATGCGGGGGTCCACTGTAATGGAAATCAAATTAATCCATTCCTGACACCCCAAAGTATGAACAAAAAAATTTTTTACCACATGAAATATTAATTTTAATACACACAAACTGAAGAAGACATGCACAGTTACATGACACTTGCCTTTATTGAAGATCTGGTGATGATTGATGGGATGGGAGGAGGGGAGAGTGTTGATGGTGTTAGTGTTTTGAAGGGGAATCCACTTCCATTAGGACTTAAGGTGGCAAATCCTTTTCCGGGGTTACTTCCCTTCTTCTTTAAGTGCCACTAGGACCAGCTTGAGTCACTGGACCTCTGTCGCACAACATATCTGTCCATAGAGGCCTGTACCTCCCGTTCCTTTGACATTCCTAAAGTGTTTCACAACATTGTCAGCCTGGTTGATCTGGCACCTGGTGAAGATACTTGTCTAGTTTCCTCTTGAAGGCGTCAACACTTGTTCCAGCAGTGTTTCTGATATCTTCTGGTAAGATGTTGAAAAGTCTGGGACCCCGGATGTTGATACAGTGTTTCCTTATTGTCCCCACCGCACCCCTGCTCCTCACTGGGTTTATTTTACACTTCCTCTCATATCTCTCACTCCAGTATGTTATGGCAGTGTGCAGACTTGGGACCAAGCCCTCGAGTACCTTCCAGGTATATATTATCATGTACCTCTCTCTCCTCCGCTCCAATGAGTACATGTTCAAGACTTGCAGGCGTTCCCAGTAGTTTAGGTGCTAAACTGGCTCAACGTCAGCTGTAAACGATCTCTGTATTTGTTCCAGCTCCAATATTTCTCCTGCCCTGAACGGGGCTGTCAGCACTGAGCAATATTCTAAGTGAGGGAGCACTAGCGATTTAAAGAGTGTCACCATCGGCATTGTTTCCCTTGTTTTAAAAGTTCTCGATACCCACCCAGTCATCTTCCTGGCTGTCGTGATCTTTGTCTTGTTATGGTCTTTAAAAGAAAGGTCCGCTGACATAATTAGTCCTAGGTCTTTTACGTGTTCCTTACGTTCTATTTGGTGACCCTCTTGAGTTTTGTATATAGTGCTCCTTTTGAGTTCTTCATTCTTTCCATACCTAAGCAGCTGGAACTTATCACCATTGAACGTCATGTTGTTTTTTCACTGCCCACTGGAAAACCCTGTTTATGTCTTCCTGTACTTTTTCGGTGTCCTCTTCCGTACTGACTTTCATGCTTATTTTAGTGTCATCTGCAAATGATGATACAAAAGTGTGCCGGGTGTTTTTATCTATGTCTGCTATGAGGATGAGAAACAGCAGAGGTGCCAGGACAGTGCCTTGGGGCACTGAGATTTTGACCTTGCTGATGCTGAATCTTGCCCTGTTCACTACTACTCTGTTAGGAAACCGAAAATCCATCTTCCTACCTATTATAAAGTTTGATAAATTATGCACAATAAGTGGAAAATTATCACTTTTTCACTTATGGGAAGCACTTCACAGCTTTGTAGAACTTCCACCATAACTACTTTTGCACTTCGAGGTCATTATTAAGCAAAATTAAGGGTTACTTTTGGGCCACAGTAAACCATGGATACTGGACCCACAGATATGGGGGTCCTACTGTATTTGTCTTATACATTATAACCTCTCCTCACTTAACGATCAAGTTCTAGTCTTAGGAGTAGGTTAGTAAGCAAATTGGTCGTTAAGTGAGGACCATACTGTACTGGTAGTGGGTTTGCATCAACCATCTTTAGATATTTTTTTTAATGTCGCCTTTGCACCATTTATAACATTTTGAGTATATTTTTCAACCTTTATACAGGAGTGTACTGTGTACTGCAATAAACAGAATAGAGGAAATCATCTCTAATATACATTACTCAGGTTTGCATACTGGTTGGAGGACTGATCGTAAGTCCGAGCGGTCAGTAAATAAGTATGTATGTCGCTAATAGAGGAGAGGCTGTATTTGTCTTGTACATTATTTATCTTGTACATTACAGTGGACCCCCAGTTAACGAACTTTTTTCATTCCAGTAGTATGTTCAGGTGCCAGTACTGACCGAATTTTTTCCCATAAGGAATATTGTGAAGTAGATTAGTCCATTTCAGACCCCCAAACATACACGTACAAACGCACTTACATAAATACACTTACATAATTGGTCGCATTTGGAGGTGATCGTTAAGCGGGGGTCCACTGTATTTGCAGTGCAATCCGGACAAAAATTTAAGAAAGATGACTATGCTATTGTTCTTATTTCAGGGCATAGGATGGTTACTGATATGAAGTTTTATCTATCTAAAGACTTTGTGGATAAGGTTTATGCTTCTTGTCGAGATGTTGTGTCCCCATCCACGAATGACAGAGTCATAGGTAAATATGTTTTTATTGTACATGCTTGAATTATATTGAGATTTTTATTTTTGTATATGCCTATGTTTTCTGAAGGGTATATATATGACAGGATGAGTTGTTTCATAAGGGATTGAAGTGTTGTAAACTTAGTGAATTTTGCAGAGACTTGTGTACAGTGTAATTTTTCGAGCTGAAGGATGAAAAATTATAGATCCTTTCCACAGAATGCAATACAAAGCAGCAGAGAGTGAAAGGTTGTAACTCAAGCATTGATAAATTGATGAAGTGCCTGAAATTTTAAAAACGAAGGCTGTAGGTACTAGGAGTGTACACAAGGATTAGATGCCTGAATCAACTTTTTCCAGTATTTTATTTGTCTTCTACTGAAATTGGTAAACTGCTGCAATAATTTTTTTTTTATTTTATGTAAATCATATGGCTCAAAAAACAGCAGTCATTGGTCAGAAATTTTATTGAATAATTTTTGAATGTCTAAGATTTAGTAATGGGTGTAATATTATCTATTTAACTTCAGGATTGTTTTGTGGAGACTGGGGTGCAGCTCGGTGCACTGGAGAGCGACTTTTTAATTATTTGGGTCACTTTGAAAACAATGTTTATACCCCAATAAACATTCAGTACCAATACCTGAGAGGTCTGGAGGAGAGCCCTGAGGGAATCTTGCCTCTGAATCAAACAGCACAGCCTTGCAACCTAGAACTGGAGGTACTGTTGTTATTGTTGGTGCTTCTCTAAAATGTCACATTAGTTGTACTTATGTCCTTATACCCAACATATTGTTGGTAATTCTACCAACGTTATTACAGTTTCTCTAAGTTGTACATTACTTAGGGAAACATCTTATTTTCTGGTTACTTAGCTTCACAGTGATTCTCAACCAGGGGTAAATTTACCCCTTGGGGGTAAAAAATTACATGACAAGGGGTAAATATTTCATATATGTACCTGATAATTGAATAATAATTCAATTAAATTTCATTTTGTAAAATGTTTCGGGTGTTTGGTTTTATTTTTTGTGATGAAAATGGACTGTATAATTATTTCTTTAGAAAGGAATGTTTTATTTTTTTTAATTTTTGGTGATACGAATGTACATTGCTATTTTTGTGTAAAACCTGAATAATTTATATTTTCTGACATCCTTGTTTTTCTGTCTCTTTATGATGGCAATAAATTTTTTGTATGGAAGTAAGGGGGTAAATGGAAAAATACATCTAGCCAAAGGGGGTTAATGATGGAGGAAAAGTTGAGAATCCCAAGTAGCATAACACCTTACAAGTTAGATGTACATTGTGAATTTAAATGTAATACTAATGTATAACATACATAAACATGTAATTCACAAATAGATGATAAGTGATTTTGGGAAATTTGAAAGATTACTTACTTGGGTTAACCCTTTCAGGGTCCAAGGCCAAAATCTGAAGTGGTGCCCCAGTGTCCAAGAATTTAAAAAAAAAAAAAAAAAAAAAATTTTCTTATGAAATGGTAGAGAACCTTCTTGTGAAGGTAATAAGACAAAAAGTACGAAATTTGATGGAAAATTGACGAAATTATGCTCTCGCGAATTTTGATGTGTCAGCGATATTTATGAATCGGCGATTTTGCCGACTTTGACTCCCATTTTAGGCCAATTACTTTATTCCAGTCAACCAAATTCTTAGCTATTTCACTAGTATTACTTCTATTCTATCGATTGAGCACAAGAAATCGCCAAGTCAACTGTTTCAACTACAAAATAAAGTGATCGGAAATTGGTAATTTGGCCAATTTAACACAAAGTTCAAAATATTCCAATTTCAAAATAGGGTCCAGAATAAACAATGTAGGTATTCCTGGCACTAAACTAACATTTCCTCTGTTCATTAGTTATGTTTTGAGGCATTACAAATAAATTCCATTTTGATTTTTTATTCACATAATGAATTTTTATTCACACAATGAATTTTTATTCACACCAAAAAATAGAAGATTTACTGTTATGCAATATTGTAATAATTGTATAAATATCATCACCACATTTGTGAATGTATATTAGACCCACCAGCTGGCGTGTATTAGACGTGTGAGGTCGTTTGTTTACTCTTGAACATCGGCAAAAATTTAACATTTCCGCTACTTTGAGCTCAGTTTCAAGCCATTCCTAGTGCTAAAACCAATCAAAATCATCTCTATTTCTGTAATATGTCTTCCATTCTATCAAATGAGACCAAGAAATCGCAAACACAACTATAAAAAACATAGGAAAAAACACTGCAAAGTCGCTATTTTAATCGAAAATCACTGTCTCTGTTTTTTCTCTCATTATATACTGTGTGCTGCAGGATTTGTTTTATGTGGTGCACACATACCACATAGATGTATTTCTCATATCTAGGCCCAAATTTACCACTCAGTATATCAGAGTGAGCTGAGCTCATGGCGTAGATCTACGGTTTGGACCCTGAACGTAAAGCCGTAGATCTACAGGACTGACCCTGAAAGGGTTAAATAGGAAAGTAATGTGAGCAAGATGTGAAGGCAATGATAGATTGGACGCCATATTGAAGGGAGGTAGTATAGAAGAAGTTAGTGTATTTGAGAGTGGATGTCTCAGCAGATGGGTCTATGAAAGATATGGGGTAAATTATAGAAGAGATAAGGTAAAAAGGTACCCAGAATATTGAAGGGTCTGTTAAAAGTTCATTAATGGAAGCATAGAGGAGAATGCATCAGAGTATAGCATTTCCATGTTTGAGATCAATGTGTGGTATGGATATTTTGCCGAAAATGAGTGAAAACGTTGTAAGATAATGTAGTGGAATAAATTATGCAATTTAGAGAGTAAAAGAAGGTTGTTGAGGTGGGTAAGGCATTTAGATTAGGTTAACCAAGAGAGTGTATAATTTTTAGGTGGATGTAAAGTGGTGTAAAGGATGTACCACAAAAGGTTGGAAAGAGGATGTGAAGATTATTTCAGAAATAGGTGTGTGTGTGTTAAATTAGAGTGAGTGGAAACAACTGTTTTTTATTTAACTTGTTGTTAGTGTGTGAAAGTGATATCTGTGAAAGGCTTCAAAGAACCTGGTAAGCCAAACTTGAGTTATGGTGATTGGAAGTGTAAAGATTTACAGTTAAATTTATTATTTGAATTGTGATGTTTAGACTTTTCTGGAAAGACAGCTAGGAAATGAGTGATGGTGAATGCATTGCTTTTTATATGGAGACACTACTTTGATGGAAAATTATTTTTTTTTTTTTAACAAGTTGGCCATCTCCCACTGAGGCAGGGTGACCCAAAAAGAAAATACTTTCATCATCATTCAACTCTTTCACCTCACTCATACATAATCACTGTTTTTGCAGAAGTGCCCAGAATACAACAATTGAGAAGCATATACATATAAAAATACACAACATATCCCTCCAAATTGCCAATATCCCAAACCCCTCCTTTAAAGTGCAGACATTGTACTTTCCATTTCCAGTACTCGAGTCCGGCTATATAAAAATAACCGGTTTCCCTGAATCCCTTCACTAAATATTACCCTGCTCATGCTCCAATAGCTTGTCAGGTCCCAAATACCATTCGTCTCCATTCAGTCCTATCTAACACGCTCACGCATGCTTGCTGGAAGTCCAAGCCTCTCCCTCACAAAACCTCCTTTACCCACCTCCCTCCATCCTTTTCGAGGACGACCCCTTTCCCTCCTTCCTTCTCCTACAGATTTATATGCTCTCCATGTCATTCTACTTTGATCCATTCTCTCTGAATGACCAAACCACCTCAACAACCCCTCTTCAGCCCTCTGACTAATGCAAATATGTTAATATTTTCCTGTGAACAAAAAGCCGGGTCTTTCTGCTAATACAGTATATAAAGTTTTTAGTTTTTTTCAACACTTCAGCCATTTCCCATCAAGGTAGGATAACCCAAAAAAGAAAGAAACACTTTCACCATCATTCACACTTAATCACTGTCCTTGCAGAGGTACTCAAATACGACAGTTTAGATGTCACTCCAAACAGCCAATATCCCAAACCACTCCTTCAAAGTGCAGGCATTGTACTACCACCTCCAGGACTCTAGTCCATCTAGCAAGTTTACCTGAATCCTTCCCCAAAATATTACCTTGCTCACACTCCAACAGCTCGTCAGGTCCCAAAAACCATTCATCTTCATTCACTCCTATCTAACACGTTAACACACATATAGGATACAGAATATAAGGATCCCAGTGGAAATGAGCTTATAATGACATTGTTAGGTTATGTTTGGTTTAAATAATTTATGTAGATGTATGCATGAACTACATTATCAGATTCAGATACATATACTATACTGTACTGTTGTATACCTGTATGATTTTTCCTGATTTATAAGATGCAGTATTGTAAATATTATTTATATCTAAAGTATTTATACTTATTGTCACCAGGGAAGTATAGCCTGCTCGTGTGCTGACTGCCATAGTTCATGTCCCATCATTCCTGACACATGGGATATGCCTGGTGAACCATGGATTATGTTTGGTTATGATGGTCTGGCTGTGGCAATGGCTTTGACTGCAGTACTGTTCTCTGTCTCCTTCTTGGTGATATTTGCCTACTGCCACAAGCGGAATAAAAGATATACAGGTTAGTGTTGTAAAGTGACAGCTGCAACCTTTTCACAATTGTAGTTTGCACTGGCATAGTACTTGCTCTCTCTTCCTTTGCTTATTTTATTTAATGCGGCTAAGTTGTCGTATTTTCAGAATCTTTTTTCTTTTTCATAGATCTGCCTGGTAGAATTCTTTTGCCTTGTAAACTTAAAATAAGTTAATATTTATCACTAGCTTATTAGATCATAATAATTTCTTTTTGATGTATTATTATTTGGGTGTTAGTAAGTGGAGATAAGTAGTGTTTGGGATTCAATGTGCCATTAGAGTATGAGCAGAGTAACATTTTTGAAGGGTACACAAATAACCCGCACATAAAAGAGAGAAGCTTACAACGACGTTTCGGTCCGACTTTGTCAATGGTCCAAGTCGGACCGAAACGTCGTCGTAAGCTTCTCTCTTTTATGTGCGGGTTATTTGTGTATCGTTCCAGTCACGGTATTGTGCCTTTTTCTTATTTATTTTTGAAGGGGTTCAGGGAAAACTGGTTAGCAGAACTTGGCTTCTGAAGGTAGAAAGTACAGTGCCTACACCCTGAAGGATGAATAGGTTGTAGTTCCCTAGATGGTATTCGAATTATGTTTGTGAATTTCTGGCAAGACAGTTAGAGGATGAGTGATGAATGTATTTCTTCTGGGTCACCCTGCTTTACTAGGAAACTGCTGATCTTTTTTTGATATATTTTGTTAAATGTTAGTTAGCTACATGGTAATTTTTAAAGAAAATTAGAATAACTCAGGCTACCAATGTTAATTGATTTAGCTTGATTAGTGTATTATACACTGAATGTTTTGTTTGTGCATGTAATTTGTACACATTAATTTAAAGCTGATTGGCCTATATTTATAACTGTAATGTAAAGCACCCCTCTGGCAAGACAGTGATGGAGTGAATGATGAAAGTTTTTCTTTTTTGGGCCACCCTGCCTTGGTGGGAATCGGTCGATGTGTTAATAAAAAAAAAAAAGGCCTATATGATAGAAGCTTCTGCTGAGCTCTTTGTTTACTTCATTATCATTGTCTGAAAGTATTTCCTCTACTTTTCAAATCGTTATCACCTGAATCATTGTCATTCTTTTGATGTGGCTTTGACTAAAATTGCCTTTAGTTCTTTGATTCATATATGTTTCTATTTTTTAAAGCTTCCCTCCATTAATAGGGTGTGAAGTTGAATGGGTGTGTAATATAGGTTAGAAGTGTGGTGGAGATTGATGGTGTTTGATTTAGGGGTATGGAGGAGAGTTGAGTTTTTCTTTGCTAGAATAATTGAAGAGGTGTAATCACCTACTTGTTTGCAGGAGTCGAGTCATAGTTTCTGGCTTTGACTTATTGAATGATTTAATTGATTTTTGGCCTTCAGGACCTGATCGTATCTAGCCTTGTCTTGAAACTGTATACAGTCTCTCTTCACTTAACGATGGAGTTCCGTTCCTAAAACCCTGTTAGTAAATGAATTTGTCGCTATGTGAGGACCATACTATAATGGTAGTGGGTTTGTGTCAACAATCTTTGATATTGTTTTAATGTCACCTTTGCATCTTTTATAACATTTCCAGTATATTTTTAAATGTTTATACAGTAGTGTACTGTATGTTGTAATAAACAGAATAGAAGAAATCATCTCTAATATACATTATTTAGGTATGCATACTGGTCAGAGAGCCCATCATAAGTCCAAGTCGTCGGTAAATGAGTATGTTGCTAAGTGAGGAGAGGCTGTACAGTGTTTGAATTTATGGTAGAGGAAAGGAAATTTATTGTGGGTGATTGATGTTTTTGTGGTTTCTAGGGGACATGATTGCAGTATTATTCTTATACAATATTTGTTCACTCAAATTTCATTTAAAATCTAAAGTTATATCTGTTCTTTAGAATGTATCTTAGTTTGCTTTAAATACTTTGTGGAGTATGCATTGCTTTTCTTTTTCTTCTAAGCCCATTAAGGAATTTACATTTGCTTATTTTTACAGTTTCTTTGCACAGTAATTTTGGTATGCTAATTGCAGAGGAAGTGAAGGTGTTGATCTTGCTGATAAAGATAGATAAACAACAACAAAAGGCAATACCAGGTATAGGGCACTGACCAACTTTTGCAACGTCATCTGCACAGATAAACAATATTTGGTGCAGAATTTAGACCTATAATGTTGTTAAATATAGAATTATTTTTTGTAAGCTAAATAATATGTATATCTTCAGATTGTGTTGCAAATTTTGTCACTATGCATGGTGGTTGTGATTCAGAATGAGTTTGTGTGTGTGTGTTTGTGTGTGTGTTTTGTGTTTTTTTTCTGATATACATAAGTAGTAGTTAATCTGTTGGAATTCTTTTTTGAATATGTATATTATTGTAATTGGTTTATAATTAGATAATATAGCCTACTAACATTATAGCCTTTCCTTTAAGATACAATACTAATGGTGACTTTCTCTATAGCGGTGATGGTAGAACGCAGTATGCGCAACCCAGAAGAAATACGAACTGCAGTTGGTCGGCGCCTAGCACATCTTTCTGATCCACAAGCGCAGTTTGCTGGAGAAGATGAAAACTCATTACTTCATGGTAAATACTCCCTCTTCACATCATATTTTTACCCCTTCACTTTTAGGTTTTTAATACTGTACTGGACATAAGTCATTTAAAATGAAAAAAGTGCAGTAAAGTAATACATTTAAATAAGCTACCTCAAACATTTTTAGCAGGAATGATAGACTAAAATACAAATGTAATTTGTTATATACCAGCTGTTCTGTCTTCTTCCCTTCCTGTCCACCTGATGCTCATCCTTTATATTTAAAGTTTTTAAATGAACAATTAACTATACAAACAACTTACTAAATGTAAAATAAAAAAATAAAACTTTTATTTCTTGTTATTTTTCTGGGTCACCCTGCCTCGGTGGGAGGCAGCTGGTGTTAAAAGCAAAAAACATAAAAAAAAAAGACTAATAACTTGGAACCTTCTGACATTACTGTTTCAAGAAGAATGAGACGATACAGTGAAGTTTTCAGTCCCTTTATACTTAACAAATTTATGTGGGAAGTACTGATCATATATTTTTTTTTCATTTGCTCATTACTCTTTGCATCTTGTAAAGGTATGTGCATGAGTGAAATGTATGAGTGTGTACAGGGTCTTGAAAGGGGCAAAGAGAATAACTAACATTTTACAAAGTTATGACAGGTATATTGACAGTTTGGAGGGATATGTTGTGTATCTTTATACGTATAGGAAAGACAGGTTAACATTCAGTAGTGCAAATTCATCTCATTATTAACCATATTTCGTTTTCATTAAAAAATAATAGAACAATATTGTGGGAAGCAAAAGTTAGACTATTGAAATGTCACTCAACCTTTCAAAACATTTGTCAGACCTTGTAGCATTATGGAACTCAAACAACATCACAGTTGAAATATATCAGCAACTGTATTTTTGTTCTCTTGGATTACTCAGAGACAAAAATGAAAAAAAAAAATTAATTCAATATCTACCCTACAGCCTTAGTCTGTTGACATAAACATGGAGTGTAGCACACATTACACATTTTCATAACTTGATAACTGTATTCTAATTTTCATCATTATTCATGTGTGCAGGCCGTCCTACTGCAGATATGCCAGAGATTGTGATGCATGATGAGCTCTCTGTATTTGAACGCATCACAAATTGGACACAGGCTACTGTGGACCATCTCTTTACCAAATGGGGAACATGTAAGTACTAGAAGATTTGCATAAAAATTAGCTTTATATGGTTATGGGCATTATTTGGCCCAGCATTTTTATATCTGCAAACTGTACATTCATACTTTTGTTAATCACTAAAATAGCTTTAAGTTTTACAATAAGTACTTATTCTTCTTCTTTGAAAGTTCAGACATTTAAATGTTAAAAACAGAATTCCCATGTAAATTTTGGTATTTTTAGCTTTCATAGTGATTAGGACTCCTCTGAACTTGAATTCCCATGTTGTGTACAGAAGTTGTAAAGATAATTTGTGTAAGTCTTGGCTTTAGAGCAATGTCAAGTCAATGTATGTTTACAGTAAAATTTTTAATTAATACAGTATTTTCTGAATAAACAGAAGGATGGACAGGAAGCTTGAACTGTGGTCCATAAATTGACAGGCCCAGTGATTCAAGCCTTTCGTCCATCTTTCTGTTTATTCATTGACAGTTGTTTATTATGACTTAATCTTATCTCACAGTACTTTATATTGAATTTTCACATATGAATTACTGTTTTGAATTTTTTAAACATTACTGTTAATTCTGTTACTTACATTTGTTTGCTTAATGCTTATCTGATATAAAACAATTTAATGGTAAAAAGTTTAGATACAGTACAATAATATCAATGAGATGTATTTGCTTATATTTTAGTATGTGCGCATCACCCTTGGAAAGTAATGGGTATTGGCTTGATCGTTGCTGCCTCGCTGTGTGTTGGTATTATATTCTTACAAATCACTACGGATCCTGTTGATTTATGGGCAGCCCCTAATTCACGTGCTCGCATTGAAAAAGATTATTATGATGAGAACTTTGAGCCATTTTATCGTACCGCCCATATATTCATTCGTCCAGTTGGTATTGAGAGTGTAAGTGTTTTTACTTATTTTCTTATACTGTATACTAAAATTATTCAGTTGAGCAATTTTAGTTCACTTTGAATTAGTAACTAGTAACTATGGCAGTCCTGCATCTTCTGGTGTTTGGACATTATGCTTATTTAATATTGTCTAATGTAGAATGTCTTAAGTGACTGTTCTGGCATTTTTGGGAAGTATCTTAAGATAGTCTTAAGAATTAATACTATTTGGAAAGCTAAAATAAGTTTTGAATAAATTAATCTGAAATATACAGTGAAGCTATCTATAAAGACTTTATTGTAGGGTGCAACTTGTCCATAAAAAAATAACTCTTTGCAGTTTGAAGTGGATGGTGAAACTTATGGCCCAGTGTATAATAAGACCTTCCTGCTTGAAGTCCTTAGACTACAAAACTACATTACAAATGAGGTAATACTTTTGAAAATAAATAATTTTACTAGAAAAAAAAAAGTTAAATTGTTTTTAATTTTCTTATGTCTTCTTTTATAATCATTTTTAATATGCTGGTTTCTGTGCACTAGCTTATAATAAATTTTTTGGACTTTGACCTTCGCTTGATATATTAATTGCATTAGTCATATATATAATGGTACAGTTCTACATTTTGAATTCTTAAAATAATTATTTCGTGTTTTGGATTATTTTACAAGAGGTTTAATTATTTAAATTTTTTCCTTGAATAAAGAGGATATTTACAGAATACCTCTGGTGGAATGATACAAAACAATAAATTTTTTTTTATTTAAGCCTAGTTAATGATCCCATTTTAGAATGACAATTTTTATGAATTGATGTGCTGTTGGAGTGTAAGCAAGGTAATATTTTTGAAGGGATTCAGGGAAACCTAGTTAGCTGGACTTTCCCTGGAGGTGGGAAGTACAGTGCCTGCACTATAGAGGAAGGGTTGGGGGAATGTTGCAGTTTGGAAGGTCATTACACTTCTAGCAGAGATTACACGAGTGATGATGAAAGTGTTTTCTCTTTTGTGGGTCACCCTTTCTCAGTGGGAGACAGCTGGTGTGCTAAAAATAAGTTGAATCTATTATTTTTTTTACTTTAATATTTTTCATTGTTTTAAACAGTCAGTCATGCACAAATATCAGATATTGGACTCTCGCAATTTTATTTAAGTGTGATGGTTTTATTATGTACCACAAGCCCAACCTATAGATATTAGTCAAAAGATTACAAATGCACTTACTGGATGAACTCCAACATTCTTTTAATTTATCAAATTAGGTTAGCAGTGAGCTGTTTACTAACATAATGGACTTGTTCAAAAGAACACTGAAACAGTGATTGCAGAAAATGTTGTACCATATTTGGGTGTATGGTAGGGTTATTATTGGAAGAATTAGAGGTAAGACAGAGAGCAGGATTGCAGATGAACAAGGAGGCTATAGAATGGGGTAGGGGATGTGTAGACCAAAAGTTAACATTGGAACATAGAGGTAGGAAAGTTTTCATTACATTTATGGATTTAGAAAAGTTGAATGATAGGGTAGATAAGGGAGCAATGTGGCAAATGTTGCAAGTGTATGGAATAGATAGATACCAAATGGTGTAAAAGTTTTTATGAGGATAGTAAGGCTCAAGTTAAGGGGTGTAGGAGAGAGGGAGATTACTTCCCAGTTAAAGTAGACCGTAGACAGGGATGTGTAATATCACCATGGTTGTTTAACATATTTATAACTGGAATTGTAAAAGAAGTAAATGCTATGGTGTTAGGGAGAGGGGTGGGATTAAGTTTTGGTGAATCAAATACAAAACGAGAATTCACACAGGTACTTTTTGCTGATGATATTGTGCTTTTGGGAGATTCTAAAGAAAAGTTGCAAAGGTTAGTGGATGAGTTTGGGAGGGCGTGTAAAGGAAGAAAGTTGAAAGTGATCGTAGATAAGAGTAAGGTGATGAGGGTATCAAACAAAGTAGGTAAAGAAAAATTGGATATCACATTGGGGGGAGGGAGTGAGCATGGAAGAAGTGAATATGTTCAGATATTTGGGAGTAGACTTCTCAGTGGATAGGTTTATGAAGGACGAGGTAAACCATAAAGTTGATGAAGGAAGAATAAGTGGGCAGTGCATTGAGTTATATGTGGAGACAAAGAACATTATCCATGGAGGCAAAGAAGGGAATGTATGAGAGTATAGTGGTACCAACACATGGGATGTAAATGCTGCGGTGAGGAGGAGGCTGGAGGTAGTGGAGATGTCGTGTCTAAGGGCAGTGCGTGGTGTGAATATTATGTAGAGAATTATTTATTTTTTTTTTTATTATCACACCGGCCGATTCCCACCAAGGCAGGGTGGCCCGAAAAAGAAAAACTTTCACCATCATTCACTCCATCACTGTCTTGCCAGAAGGGTGCTTTACACTACAGTTTTTAAACTGCAACATTAACACCCCTCCTTCAGAGTGCAGGCACTGTACTTCCCATCTCCAGGACTCAAGTCCGGCCTGCCGGTTTCCCTGAATCCCTTCATAAATGTTACTTTGCTCACACTCCAACAGCACGTCAAGTATTAAAAACCATTTGTCTCCATTCACTCCTATCAAACACGCTCACGCATGCCTGCTGGAAGCCCAAGCCCCTCGCACACAAAACCTCCTTTACCCCCTCCCTCCAACCCTTCCTAGGCTGACCCCTTACCCGCCTTCCTTCCATACGGGGACTGATACACTCTTAAAAGTCATTCTGTTTCGCTCCATTCTTTTCTACATGTCCGAACCACCTCAACCCCCTTCCTCACCCCTCTGGACAACAGTTTTGGTAATCCCGCCCCTCCTCCTAACTTCCAAACTACGAATTCTCTCAATTATATTATAGAGAATTAGTTAGTGTGGAAATTAGGAGGAGGTGTGGAGTTACTAAAAGTATTATTCAGAAGGCTGAGGAGGGGGTTGTTGAGGTGGGTTTGGTCATTTAGAGAGTGTATTAATCTGTAGGGAGGGGGGGTAGGGGGTTTGTTTCTGGGAAAAGGGGATGGAGGGAGGGGGTAAAGAAAGTTTTATGTGCAAGGACTTGGACTAGAGTAGGCATGTGTGTGAGCATGTTAGATGGAGTGAATGGAGACAAATGGTTTTGGGCCCGGACAAGCTGTTGGAGTGTGAGCAGGGTAATATTTTTGAAGGGATTCGGGGAAAACCCGGTTAGTTGGACTCGTGTCCTGGAGGTGGGAAGTACGGTGCCTGCACTGTTAAGGGGGTTTGGGATATTTGCATTTGGAGTGACATCTAAGTATCATATCTGCATGTCCTCTGCAAAGAAAAAGGATTACATGTGAATGATGTTGAAAGTTTTTTTTTTTTTTTTGGGGGGGGGGGGGGGTAAAAAAAGAAAAAAAAAATTTTGGGTATGATTAGATAGTAAGGGAGTATTGTAAAAAAAAAGTACAAATTTGGTGGAAAAACTTACGGAATTACACTCTTGCGAAGTTAGCGATCTGGGGTGATGTTTTACACATCGGCAATTTTGCCCACGTTGAGTCCTATTTTCGGCCAATTCCATTGTTCCAGTTTATCAAACTCTTAGCTATTTCTTTAGAACTCCATTTGTTCTATCGATTGAGTACAAGAAACTGCCTATTTATGGATTTCAACTACCCAATAAAGTGGTCAGAAATTGGCAATTTGGCCAATTTCATGCAAATTAAAAAGATGCCAATTTCAAAAGACGGTCCAGAATAAACAAGGCAGACATTCCTGGCACTAAAATAACATTTTCTCTGTTCATTAGTCACATCTCCAGGCCCCTCATATAGTACTCTTGCTTTCTATTTTGAATTTTTATTCACAAAAAATAGATTTACTGTTATGCAGACTACTACATTATTGTAATAATTGTATAAATAATGTCAACCCATTCATGACTGCTTATTAGAATGGCTAGTTGGACACTTATTGGATGGTGACGTCATTTGTTTGCTCTTGAACATCGGCAAAAATCAAACACTTCCGCTAATTTGAGCTGAATTTCAAAGTTCTTTTCATCGTGAAACCTATCAAAAACTTCTCTATTTCTGTAATATGTCTTCCATTCTATCAAATGAGACCAAGAAAACGAGAATACAACCATAAATACTATACGTAAATACACTTCAACTTCAGAGTTTTAATCCAAAAATAGTAGTTTTTTTTTCTCATTATGCACTGCATGCTGCAGGATTTTTTTTTATACTGCACACTGACCACACCGACCCATTGTCTCACATGTGGGCCTACCAGCTTTCTTCTACTTGATTTCAAGCCGCTAGAATTTTGGTGCATCAGTACGTCACTGACGCTGGCTCGTAAGATGTATGTATACGACACCGACATTCAAAGAGTTAAAAGAGTAGTGATTGGAAAACAAAAGTAGAGCCAGTGAGAGAATGGGCGAGTTCTTATTAGCAAATTTTGCTGAGAATAGGCTGTTTTGAAGAGATCAGTAAAGTGAGGAAACCTGGAGAGCAAATGGACTTGGCAGTTTTTAAAATAAAAGCCTAGGAGGATATTTAGTTTGGAGGTGGAGGTACTGTAAAGATGGAGAAAACATTTTGATGAGTTGTTGAATGCTGTTGATGAAGGGGAGGTGGTGTTTTCATGGATTGGGAGGGATAATGTCACATAGGAATAGAGAGATGCCCGAGATGAATGGGGAAAGTGTGAGGCAGTGGGTAAAATGAAACAGGATAAAGCAGCTGGGATAAATGGTATTAAGGTGGAGATGTTAAAATCTGGTGGGGATTTAGTATTGGTGTGTTTGTTAAAGTCATGCATGAAACAAGGTAAGCTACCAAAGGATTGGCAAGGTGTGCATAATTCCCACATATAAAGGAAAAGAGGGCAGGATAATGTAAAAGTTATAGAGGGATAAGCCTGTTGAGTATACATAAGAACATAAGAAAGGAGGATCACTGCAACAGGTCTGTTGGCCCATACTAGGCAGGTCCTTTACAATCCATCCCACTAACAAAACATTTGCCCAACCTAATTTTCAATGCTACCCAAGAAATAAGCTAAAGAAATAATACCTGGTAAAGTTTGTGGTAGAATTATTATTGAAAGGGTTAGGGGTAAGACAAAAGTAGGAGTGCAGAGGAGCAGGAAGGGTAGGGGATGTGTAGGTCATTGAATCATGTAAGTGAGCAGTACTTAAACAAGGGTAGAGATCATTTTGTTGCATTTATGGATAGGAAATTTACTGTGGGTGACGTGTAATTTTGAACCATGCCACCATTTGGTTGTATCCCTCATAAAGAGCTTATCCTTGTCTATCCTGTCTGTGACCCAGAGTATTTTGTGTGATCACATCCCCTTTTGTTCTTTGCTCTTCCAATGATATAAGGCTTAATTCTCTTTTTTTCCTTCATAGCTTGTTTCCCTCAGCCCAGGTATTAATTTCAATACTTTCCTTTTCATTCTCA